GTCCTATGCAGCAGTTATTTTGGCAAATTTTGTGAGATTTTCATGTATATATTGATGTATTAATTATGTAAGAATATTCAGGAATGTATTACATCATTTTTGTGAGGATTTACTTCTTATTGTAAGCCTCGATCAGAATAGAACATTCTAGAACCTCCCAGGCATGTCTGGGTGGTGCTAGAGGCGTCTGACGAGACGTATATAAACACTAGCGAGCGGCATAGAACGGCCGAAATAGCCCAAAGGCGAACGGCATAGAACGGCCGAAATAGCCCAAAGGCGAAGTGGCCAGCAATCCCCAATACAAGTACAAGCATAGAAGTCAGTCTATCGCTTCCGCTCAGAGTGTAAAGAATAAGCCTAGTAGAACAACTGAAGATAATTGCTGTATAAGTATTGTGGAATTGTTGTGAACAATATAAAGTGAGAAGACTCAAGAGTTGTACACTGGTAGTGTGCTGAATATATATTCGAAGTGAGAAGTCCAGCTGTGAAGACATTACCCTGTTAACAGTGTTGTGAAGAATCAATGCTTATTAAAGAAGACTACAGTTCACAAGTGTGTTTCTGTGACCTGGTGGAAATCTACCTGCCTGTTGTTTGTCTGTACACTGATGCTAATCGTCGGGAAATTACCGGAGACTGGCGGGACAGCCAGTGGTAATTCGACAACACTTGAATCTACTGCTTCTATACATACAACCTTGGCTGCTAGTAACCAGTGGTGTTAGCTGGGTAGGCGGTGAAAGGAGGGTCGTAACAATAATGAACTCACACAAGTACATTTAAATTAACACTTGTAAGAATGGTAGAAGGTGCTTCTCTGTGTATTGGCACCAGCACCACATAAGTAAGATAATGATTCTTCATTTATGGGAAAATCCATTTGTATTGGCAACAGTAATATGAGTAAACAAACAAATGAAAGAATGTAAGGTTTGTTTGTCTCGTCACTGGTTGATCAGTGTTTCACAACAAAGTTAGAAGAGCACTTAGAAATCATTTATTTCACACTAGTGTAAATAACTAAGGCTTGTACAAGACCCCTAAGATGAAGATGTAAGAAGTATTAAAAGACTTGAGCTTTATAGAGGAGCTGATATGTAGGTAGGATACTTGAAGGACTAGTAGATAGACACAGTGGAGACGTAGTACAGAACTGTATACAGTAGATGACCAGTCACCGAATACTGCATGGATTTTTAAAGTAAGTTCGGGTGGTAAAGAAGTGAGTGGTGCTCCTCGCCCAGTCTGGCCGGGGTTTCTATCACCTCGAATGGCTGTGGCTTGTGGTTATCACTTTTATTTCCTAATAGATGATTGGTTAAATTTTTCCACCATGACGATCACGCGATGTGCAGAGGGGGAAGGGTTTTGAGTGGCGGGTAGAATTTACCTGAGTGGTGCTTTCTCTTTTACTTTTTTACATTTATCCTCTTTGCCACCGATTGACATGTTAGCCGTTTGGGCGGTCAGTCACGTGTAGTGGACGTCTCCCCTACAAACTAACTGCGTAGCAGCCCACCACCTGCTATCACATTCCAATGTGCCGCCTTCCCTAGCAACCAACCAGATGTTACCGTATCTTAGCAACGAAACTATTCACCGGCTACTTCTCGGGTTTTCCCACCATGACTCATAGCGGCTGCTGCGGGGTATATAAGCTCTGTCTCTCCCTTGAGATTCAGTCTGACCAATCTTCTTGAACAAGCAACACCTCCTCCTCTGCCGCTGCCTGGCGACCCTCGCCTCTCCTCCGCCGGCCTGGCGGTCCTCGCTCCCGCCAGCGAGCATGTCCTTCTCTGAGCTTCCTCACCAACCAACATTCATTCTGCCCATTTTCCTGAACAAGCAACATCTCCTCCAGCAAGCTCCTAGCTGTCCAGCATTCATTCAATCAGGAGGCCAGCAACAGGCAACATCTTCTCTAACGAAGCTCCTGCACATCTACCTCCTTCAACACGCTACTCACCGAACGTCTTCTACTGAGCAGCTCCCCACCACACGGCACCTCCAGCACCAGACTGTCTATCATATAACTTATATATTATACAAGAAAACCACATTAGAGTTTCCTTCCATCCTGAGTGCTAGACAACACTAATATCTCGATACCCCTACACACATCTCTATTACACACTGTTGGCAAGTACTAAGTATGAACTAGTGATATGATTGAGGTTATCTTTATACGTGTCACTCCCCTCCACAGAAATCTCTAAGGTTCAGCACAGAAAATGGGTTGAGCCTGAGAGGAGACTGTAGTGGATTTCTCCCCTACAAACGCTGTTTGTCGCTGAGTAGCCGACCCCACCAATTCCCCAGTGTATGCCTCGTGGTCTAGGTCAACCAGCGCCTCCATACATCACGGAGTGGGGGTCAACTACTAAGCCAACGCCTACCCCCCGCTATTTAAGACCTGACCTCGTGGTGACCTACCTCTCTTTCTACCTACACCAACCAGCCAGCAACTCCTCCTCCACCTGCCTGGTGGTCCTCGCTCCCGCCGGAGAGCATGGCGACCCACAAGCTGGTCCTCCTCTGAGCACCCTCACCAACCAGCTCTCTCTACATCACGCTTGTAACCATGCTGCCTTCCCAGCACCAAGCTGCATTGTACATCCAATACAACATGTATATAGAGAGCACATTGTCAGTTTCCTTTCTCCACCCCATCCTGAGTGTGAACCAAACATCCTAAAAACCCTACAAGACCATCTTGGTTGCACTCCATCACTAGTCCTTGAAATTCTAGTTACTAGTAGAATGAGCTTGACTTGCCTCAGAGTAACATATATGAATAATTATTATAGGATTACATATGAAATTACTAGAAATTAACATACAACTAATTTCATTCAATTCTGAATTTATACAAATGAAATATTTACCAACATTAAAGTTTTCCATACCTCTCTCATAAATAGATCAACCAGTGTTTACTTGGACAGAAACAGAAATAGAGAACCACTTTGGAGACATATACTGTACATGCATCACTACACTAACTGCTCATTCTTTAGAACAATTGAGTTGGTTACTACGGTGAGATGATATGAGTTGGTTACTACGGTGAGATGATATGAGTTGGTTACTACGGTGAGATGATGAGTTGGTTACTACGGTGAGATGATATGAGTTGGTTACCACGGTGAAATGATATGAGTTGGTTACCACGGTGAAATGATATGAGTTGGTTACTACGGTGAGATGATATGAGTTGGTTACTACGGTGAGATGATATGAGTTGGTTACTACGGTGAGATGATATGAGTTGGTTACTACGGTGAGATGATATGAGTTGGTTACTACGGTGAGATGATATGAGTTGGTTACTACGGTGAGATGATATGAGTTGGTTACTACGGTGAGATGATATGAGTTGGTTACTATGGTGAGATGATATGAGTTGGTTACTACGGTGAGATGATATCATGACTACTTTCTCTCCTTAACTTCAAAACAGTAGAGCTTAATTAAAGGTATAAATCAAAATACTGTATAATTGCTACATTTTATATAATGTAAAGAAATAAAAAATACACAAACATTAACTTTATTAAGTCATTATAAATTATAACTCAGTAGGTCAATTAGCAGACAAATACAGTACAGTACTGTACAGTGCCTCTAAAATTGTTTATATAAATATCAAACTGCACAAATGATACAGTAAATAATAAACCTCACCAGTGTGTAAGACTTGACATAACCTAAACAATACATTACAGTGATCCAGTTCTGAGACAGGTGACTGTAACATTATCTTATCATACACATCAGACCTGGTGATGTTTATAAAATGTGAAAACATTACTGATTTTATTGGGCTAAATACAAGTGCACAACACAGTAAAACATAACGGATAAACCAGCAAGCAGACGTTTACAATTTGTCTATACAGTACTGTTTTTCCATTCACATTCTTTGTAGGGTGAATCATGGGTTCTGAAAACCTCCAAGGATGGAAAAAAATTGGAGAGTTGAGTGAAATACACATGCAGAAAACAGCAGGAAAGAAGGGAAGCAAGTAAACAAACGCTTCATATACACTTAACTTGCAAACACATTATACATCAGTGGTCCCCAACTTGTACCCGGTAGTTCTTTTTATTTTTTTACTTTTATCCTCTTTACCACCGATTGGCTCGTTAGTCGCTTGGGCGATCTGTCATGTCTCTGTTATGCACTGTTGGCAAGTACTGGGCATGCACTGGCTCCTGAATGTATCTGAACCTGCTCCAGTGCTTGTCAAGTCTGGTCTTAAAAGAGCTCACACTCGGAGCCGTCACAACACTCTCTGGCAGATTGTTCCGAGAGTTCACAACTCTCACTCCGAAAAAGTTACCCCTCACAGTTTTCTGGACTTGCGGCGTCTTCAACCTTGAGCTGTGACCCCTTATGGGGTGAGCGTCCGCCAGCTCCGGGTATGGATACTAGACTGAGTAGTCCCCTTTGAGAAGTTTATACACCTCAATTAGGTCACCCCTTGCCTGTCTGTAGTATTAGCTAGGCAACTGCAGGCGCTCTAATCTCTCTGGGTAGCTGAGGTGCCGAAGTGGAGGCACCAGTCTCCTTTGGACATTTTCAATCAACTGACAGTCCTTAGCATATCTCGGGGACCAGACAGGGTGACAGTACTCCAGGCGGGGAAGAACCATAAGGAAACACAAAAATGAAAAAAAATCAAAAGTGAGAAACATTATATGTATGTTGTGTTGTCAATAATAAGAGAAACAATTGAGACCCTGCAACTGCGTGTAAATGAAGCAGAAAATCAGATCAGCAACCTGGGACTTGGTCACAATTTTCGAGTTGCCATCTGGCAGCAGGATCTACCATTAGACAATACATTATGCTTTCAAAATCTTCCCAGGCAGTAGTACCTCCCTGTTTGGTACCTGCCTACTACCTACTACCATCATGGCATCTTTTACAATGCTCTCAAGTACTGTACATACTATGCTGGTCAGGCTGACTGGTCTATAGTTATTCATGGAGTGACGATGGCCCTTCTTGAAGATAAGACTCACATAAGCCATTTTCCAATCACTAGGGACCTTTTGCTCATCCAGGCATTTACAGAACAGGATCTTCAGGGGCTCAGCAATCTCATTGCACAACTCTTTTAGCATGTTGAGATACGCAATGTCAGGTCTGGGACTCTTATGAACCTTTAGCTTTGACACAATGTGGGTCAGCGTTGTGTCGAGCCGTCTGTCCTCAAATGCAGGAAGATTGTTCGCATCCTCTCTTGTGAACACCGATGAAAAGAAGCTGTTCAATATCTCCTCTTTGTCCTGGTCAGAGTTTGTGTAACTACCATCTTCAAGCCTCAGATCCGACACTCCTACTCAGGTTTTCAATTTTGACTTTGCATAGCAGTAAAATGCCTTTGGGTTTGACTTGACCTCGCTTGCAACCAGCCTCTGGAACTCCTTTTCAGCCCTTCTACACTCTGACTTTGCTTGGTTCCTAGATCTTGCATAAATCCTCCTGTCCTGCTCATCATTTGACCTAACCCACACCTTGAATTTCTGGGTTTTCTTCATAACTTTGCCAACCACCACATGGTGCATGTGTAGTGGTCTCCTTGTATTCCTAGAGGCACTGGGTTTGGTCTTGGGTATATATTTATCGATCAAATGGTTCACTTTACTGGCTATGACATTCAGCGTAGTGTCTGCGTTCTTATACCTTAGTGAGTCAGGTCAGTGGATACTCCTCATCTCCTTCCTCATCCCATCGTAATATTATGGAGCCCGCAACAGTTTATTAGAATTTTTTTTAAATAATTGGGAATCTCTGTCAGAGTGAAAATAATGAAAATATGTAATAACTTGATAAGACTTTAGAGAAGAACCCCATTTATCCTGAATCCGTCAAGCATAGGACGTGTGTATTTACCACAGACTGGGGCCAGAGAAAGAGCTAGCATGATCCAAGAGTAAATGGAAAAAATATGTAACTGGAAACAGTTAAACAGTTAGACTTGTGTAGAACTGCAAATAACTGTATACTATATGAGACTTTTTTTATCTTGAATGTAGATCCAAAGTTTTGACGCCCTCCACTATATTTACAATGACAAATGTGGCCCAGAGCCTACACTGATTTACATTCATTTACTGTATATATTAAAAGGAGCTGAATTGTTTTTACAATACACAATACCCTCAGAATAAATTAGTTAGATAAAGTATTAAGAATAAAATTTATTGAATACAGAATAACATAAACAATGGGAAAAGGATACAAGTACATACAGTACACAGTATCCTCAATGTTTATAATTCATAAACCATAAAGCAACAAGATTCCTGAATACATATACACACTGAAAGAACTCATGAGGCTCAACACAATGTATACAATACATGCCATTATTGCTGCTAATGAGGTGATTTGGGGAAAACTATAGGGCTCAATGGTTGCCCACATAATTCACTTAACAAATGAGAAGGAAGAATTTTCAAATACTCATAAATAAAATATAACACACATTACTTTGCCAGTATAAGGAGTGCAATTAATACAATTTGGAATCCTATTTATAATTTCCTAAGTGAATCATACCAACTACTGTAACAGTAATTTCTACTGTGAGGATAAATTACACATTTAATTACATCTAACTCTTTGTTGATTATTACCATTAGCTTGTTTCTATAATAAAAAATGTTAATGATTAATACTTAATCCTTAGAAGGCGTGCCATTCCTTATCCAAATGAAAACTTGTTTAAATATATAAATAATCCCTAAATAATTCACCTTCGTAGGTATAATTGACACAATGTTATGCAAATATTCTCGTGCAAATAAAAGTATTTTCACTTTTCCCTGGCCTCACTATAATGTTTGACATTGAATTAATGTACAGTATATAAGATACAGTACAGTACTGTATTCATGACAATGTCAACACATCAGCCATACTTACTGCATGTTACCACCTACACCACTGGGAGGCTGAGTTGATGCAGGCAAGCTGGACTTGTGTATTTCCTTATACATCTCCTTCAAGCTGACAATTTCATCAGTGAGGTGTTCAACAGCTTGCCTGGGAGTTGGTTTGAAGAAAGTACCAGACTCCAGCGAGGATAAGATGGTAGACAGGTCGCTGTCCCTATGATTGTAGGTCACCCCATGCAGGCCATGGGGGAAGGCTGCAGAATAGCGACGCTCTACTGATGCATGCTGGTTGTAACTTTTGTTAGGAATTAAGAAGTAGGGACAATCTCGACACAGACAGGCATTGCCCATCAGACCTACACCAGGTCGGTATCTCTTGTACACCTGGTCAAAGGTAGAATCTGTCACTGATACTCCCCGCTGTGGGGCCTCGGCCAGGATCTCCTGCCTTGTCATTGGCTGTACCATCTGTTTGTGGGCAGCAGAGTATGCTTCCAGCCAGGAGCTCTGCAGGTGTTCAATTAATTCTTTCTTAAGGTCTTTGGCAATAACGTGAGAATTTTCCTCCTGAACACGTTTTGTGACTATTGTGCGACTGGCATTATAGTCGGCCATTGGAGTACTGAGTCGGTCGCGAGAGGCTCTGTACAGCAAGGCATGAGCAGTGTACATAAACATGCTTTGTTCACTGAACAAGTCACTGATGACATTTTCCGCCAATCCAACCTCCCTGGCAAAGGTTCGTAGAGTGAACCATGACATGTCACCAGCAGTGGACACACTGCGTAGCTGCTCAACTTTCTGCGTGTTTACAACTATGGGGATCTGTGCTTTCAACTTTTCTTTGAGGTTTTTTATTTCTTCCGCTGCTGTCTTTCTGGCAGCATTCTGCACCTTTTCTAGGGTGTAGAAATCTTCCAAAAGGAAATCTTCGTCACCTGCCATATCTTTCTTGGTATCAGCAATATACTTCTGAACCCATTCTTTTTTGCGTTCTTGATCAACAAGTGTTTCAGCAAAGAAATCTGTAAAGGGCTTTGCTTCATTGTCCTTACTTTTGTAGTGGGTGAGACAGCGACCTACATACTCTATCAACATCAACCTGACAATCTGGGCCACAACATTTGTGTCTTCAAAGTTCTGAGTCACTTGATACATGTGAAGTATAAACATGGGTTTGATGAGTGACTCACATTTGAGTGGTCTATTATCTTGCTGTATGGTACTCTCTGTCATCAGTGCCTGGGCAGTGTCATCCTTTAACACGTTCCAGTACTTGACATAACTTGGTCGTCTGAGGTACAAGGCAGCTGTGGCTTCTATGTTCTCAATGCGACGACGAACAAACTCGGATCTGGGCTGGGTTGGATTCTCAAACAAAATCCTCACCCATGTCACTCCCAGAGCTGCCATGTGAACATTAAAATCAATGATGAAGGGATTCTTAAGGATGGCAAAGGTGGTGCACATAGTATAGAGCCGTGTGTGAACTATTGGAGCCATAATCTTGGCAGCACCTGGCGTGAAGACTGGAACTATAGCATTAAGGCGAATGTTCTTATCATCTATTTTCAGTTGTATGTCTTTACTTGATTTATCTTTACAAATAGAATTACTTGGTTCACCTGAACAGATAGAGTTACTTGCTTCACCTGAACAGATAGAATTACTTGGTTCACCTGAACAGATAGAATTACTTGGTTCACCTGAATGGATAGAATCAACAAAACTCTCTATTCCCACTTGGCTCATAACGTTGTATGGTGCACCAACAAGGCCCTGAACACCAAATGTCCAAGGATTCATAGTAACAGAGTCCCTGCTTGGAGCAAATACTGGAATTCCAGTTATAGTGAATTGTTTCAGAAATTGAAACTTATCGACATCCATTATCAGTGGGAAGTCTGGGTCCTGTAGGTCGGTCACAGTAGAGGTCAATGTGAATCGGCAATTATCTTCAGGGGTATTGTTGATGCTCTTAATCATGGTCTTGTTCTCTTCATATACTTTCAGAAACTCCTCACAATCCTTCTTATAATCTTTATCTGTGTGACCTTTCATCTGAAGCACTTTTGTTCCATATTTCCCTCCACCAACTGTTGTACTGAGAATATTCTCTGCCAACTCTAGCTCATTCCGGAACTTCTCAGTTGTTAAGATTGCTTTGATCTTATTAAGTAAAGTGTTGAACTCTGTTTCATACCCAACCAGCTCTTTCCGTTCAAGTCTCTGGCGGATGGACCGTTGATCTGCACCTCTGAGCTCCTCCATTTTGTGTTTGAAGAGCCGTTCCATGAAGGGAAGTGCATCTGATGGTACAACTTCCTTCTTGTTATGAATCTGGATGACGACAGAGTTCCACTGACGGAACAACTCAATCATGACAGAGATGGGCATCTGCTTAGGTTCTAGTGAGATGTGACCAACATGTTGACCTTGCCTGATTGTCAGTTGTCGTACTTGATCAGGTCCAGACGGAAAGTAAACCCACTCACTTAAGTGGAACACATTCTTAGTATAGACCCCAGGAAGAGAATTCCCAGCCATAGACAGTTTCAAGCTTTGAGAATAATTACTAGAAATTTTACTGCTAATGTCCTTCACCTGATTCTCTATATCACCATGTTTTTTGGCCCAGAAAATAGAGGGTAGGTTTGCGCTGCCATTGTGTAAACGTGAACGAATATTGATGCTGTACTGCACGGGAAATAAAGTGCCTACACCCAATACATAGACATTGCATGTCTTTTTCACAGCGGGAGCCATCATATTAATAACTGTCTCTGGACTTACCGCACTTGAATTATGGTTGCCGTCAGTGAGGAGAAATACATTGATGTATCTCTCCTTACACTGATAAACTTCACTGACAATAGTTTGTAAGGCACCAGTCAAGTGTGTGCCACCACCATAAAAATCTTTTTCTTCCAACATTGTTCCTGACCTTGCCAGTAAGACTGTATAGTCAAACACATATAGGTTGGTTCTTCCAACCAAATTTGGTGCCACATACTTATTCCAACTACTCATGAAGGAATCCCAGTATGCCCTCATAGAGCCAGACACATCTGCCATGAGGATATTATAGGTACAGGATGCCTGGGAAACATTAAACTTCTTTGGTACACAAGAGGGCATTTGGAGCACTGAATGAACATTTTCGTCATCTTCGATCTGAAAAAAAAAAAAACAATGTTTTAAGTGAGGAATATGAAACTAACCTTTTCATGTCTCGGATATGAAAAGTAAAACAAATAAAATTGGCCTGGTTTTTCTTGTAATGCAACACATTACAATTTTTTGTAACAATACAGGTATTTCTGCTATAACGCGATAATTGTGTTCTTGTAAAATATCGTGTTACAGAAAATCGCGTAATAGAAATAACAGGGCTTATGGAGAAAATAGGGTTAGGTGCAGATTACTCGAAATCGAATAAATTTAGTAGTTAGCCTAACACAAAGGATAGCACAGTCTAAATAAATGTTACATTCATATCTAATAATGAAATCATACAGTAAATGTAACACTTTATTTGATGGGGGAGAAGGGTGATTTTGAGGTTGATAAAATCGAGCTTCTCTTCAAGTGTTATATCCTTTCTTTTACTATCATCACCGGGAATTCTATCACCAGAACGCTTCTTGTTGATATTCTTCTTTACTATATTCACAGTTAATACAGTGGGGTATGCTATAACGAACGGATCCTACTACGAATATTCCTATAACGAACGGTTTTACCTATAAAATTGAGAATGCTATAACGAACGAAACTCCTACAACGAACATTATTTAATTTTTTTTTTTTCTAATTTATTGTTTTTTTATTACAAATATTAATGATATTCTTTATTTCAGGGGTTTAGATGCATATTTATGCACTTTTTTAAAATTTTTACAATTTTATATTATATTTTTCAGTGTTAAGTGGTTGTATTTGGGGGCCTGGAACGGATTAATTCTATAACGAACGAATGCTATAAGGAACAAGGTTCTAGAACCAATTAGATTCGTTATAGCATACCCCACTGTACCACAAAATTGGAGAAATAGCAAGCAAAAATCGCGTTATAGCAAACAAGCGTTCGCGTTATACAAATATCGTTCCTAATTCATAAATCGCGTTAGAGCAAATTCGCGTTATCAAAACACGCGTTATAGCAGAACTCACTGTACAGTATTTGGATTAATAAAGAAAAAGTTGGGTAACCTCCCTGTTAAGCCAGAATTTCCAATCCCCAAAACTCTCCAATAACCAGAATAGATTTTGAGCCTTCCAGGAAAACTCCCTCCAATTTGGACATGGGAAAGTTTCCAAGGATAAAATCAAGTGCATTTACCGGAAAAATCCCAACAAAATCACCGAAAACCTCTTTGTTCCGGGCATGGGAATAAATTTTTGGGAAGTTACCAAGAGATTGCATCATGCTCCAACATTTCCAGATGTTTTCCCACGTACTGGGCATGGGTAATTTGCACACTTCGTTCATATTCTGCTACCATTGTACAAGGTTTGTCCTTCGCTCGCTGCTGCTTTTGCATACAATTTATGGTGTGCAGCAGTACTGTAGATTACTGTACCAGGACACAATCAGCCAAGAATACAGTGTGAAAGCAGTGATTAAGGCATAAAAAGTGATTACATCTATGTATACTATACACTGTACATTCAGCAGAGTGGACAGTATATGCATATTGTAAGATAGTGTGCAGAGATGTAAGTATAGAATTCTGTTACAGAGGAGAGTAACAGGATGAAGGAAGGCCATCCTGTACCATTGAATCACCACTTGGCCTGCTCAAGATGACAACATCTGCTGATGAATACAGTATATACAATACAGAAGTAGTATACATTAGCATTTTGATTATTTACAGTACAGTATACGTAGTCTCGATTTACGCGGATTTGGTTTATGCGTTTGGTCATTTACGCAGCACCTTGCCAGACCGACAATTTTTATTTACACGGTTCATTCCATCATTTACGTGGGAAGCGGCGCAGGCAGGGTGCGCACAAGGTCGCCCAGTCAACAAAACATTACTGATTTCTTCACCAGCCACCCACCACAGCCGGCCCAAGTCAGTGATAGTGAGGATATGGACTTGTATGGACTTTGAGGGGTTTGACAAAGAGGCCCTGCAAGCCTCTGTGGTGGATAATGATACAATTGATACAAGTGATACAGGTGAGGGCCAATAATCTGCCCTCTGCCTCGGAACCAACCCTCCATCCCCGTGTGCCCAGCCATCTTTTCTACTAACGTAAGTGTTAAAAAACTAATATTATTGATATTTCTCTTAAATATTAATTGTTTGTGCATACCATCATAAAATTAAGATGTCGGAAAAAGTGTAGTTTGGGGGTCGGCCCAGTCTCTATTTCAGTTAATCCCATATGTTCTGTTATTTCGTTTACGCGTTTCTCGTTTTACGCGGACCTCTATGGGTTCAATTGACCGCGTAAATGAAGACTATACTGTATATTGTATGTGTACAGTGGTGTTTCCATAAATACCGTAAATACAACTCCACGTCTGTCCGTGCGAGATGCATAGTTTAGATTTGCACAAAACATTCCCCAACACCCAGAAAAATTCCAGGGATGTGGAATTATTTCTGGGGTGAGAAATTTGTCTCAACACCGAGAAATCTCTCATTTCTGGAAAAGCTCTACACCAATTATTTTGGCTAATGGCAACATCATTGTACAGTATATGCTAAGATTTGTTGTGACTAATGTCCTTACAAAACTGTGTGCACATTGCCTCCCGACTTTGGTTTTGACCAAATAAGACCTCCTTAAAGTTACAACTAAGATAATCCAATGTTATAACTAGTATAGTAGTGATGCATTACTGCACATATCCCCTAAAAACCTTGGTATACAGCATAGTCACTACTCACTGAACTTGAGGTAGTACTAGTAGGAAACTACCAAACAGGGAGGTACTACCACCTGGGAAGATATTGGAAGCATAATGTGTTGTCTAATGGTAGACCCTGCTGCTATATGGCATCACGAAAATTGTGACCAAGTCCCAGGTTGCTGATCTGACTTTCTGCTTCATTTACACACAATTGCAGGGTCTCAATTGTTTCTCTTACCATTGACAACACAACATACATATATAATTTCTCTCTCTTGATATTTTTATTTTTTTTCATTTTTGTATTTATTTATGGCTCTTTTTATTTATTATTATTATTATAATAATAATAATAATAATAAATAATAATAATAATAGTTGTATTTACTTAACGCGGTCAATTGAACCCAGAGGGTCCCGCGTTAAGTGAAATCCGCGTTAAGTGAACAACAGAACATATGGGATTAATTCCAATAGAAACCGGCCCGACCCCCAAACTCCACTTTTTGAAGGCACATACCTATGTTGTAGTAAAAATAACATCTTAATTTTATGATGGTACATGCACACAATTAATACTTAAGAGAAATACAGTCGCCAAGTTAATGTCCATTCAAATAATGGACTCAACTCCCTCCCCCTCTCTCACACTACACTTGCTGGCTCTTCCCTCTCAGAGAAATTTTTGGGGGAAAACCACTAAATTTTAATAAATAATACCTCAAACTAAAGTTAGGATAATACAATTGACATTGCTGGATTCCTTGTAAGACCAGGAATATTTTGAATATAAATGTCATATATTTTGCACAAAAGATAACATAGTTACCTAGAGAAAAAATTTTATCTAAAATTTGTATGTTTAATGAAAAATATATGATGTTTATATTCAAAATGATCACCAAATTATAAGAATTCCAGCAATGTAAATTATATTCTGACCGGGTAATTTGTATGAATTTTATGAGCTAAAACAAATATCTTCAGTTAATAAAAAAAAAATAATCTTCACAACACTATCTGTCAATCAAAGTACCCCACCTTGCCTCCCCCCCTCTTCCAACCGCGCGGTCAGTCCCAACCCTCCCCCCCACCCCCCACCAATCCTCCCTTCCAGGGTTTTTAACATTTAGTATTAAATAATACCTCAGATTAAAGTTAGGATAATATAATTGACATTGCTGGATTCCTTGTAAGACCAGGAATATTTTGAATATAAATGTCATATATTTTGCACAAAAGATAACATAGTTAATTTGAGAAAAATTTTTATCTAAAATTTGTATGTCTAATGCAAAAATATGATGTTTATATTCAAAATGATCATCAAATTATAAGAATTCCAGCAATGTAAATTATATTCAGACCGGATAATTTGTATGAATTTTATGAGCTAAAACAAATATCTTCAGTTAATAAAAAAAAATAATTCTTCACAGGGTAACAGATGGTCGGTCGGTCCCTCCCTCCCCCCCACCCCCCACCAACCGTCCCAAGGAGATGTGTGGGATAACCACTAAATTTTAATAAATAATACCTCAAACTAAAGTTAGGATAATATAATTGACATTGCTGGATTCCTTGTAAGACCAGGAATATTTTGAATATAAATGTCATATATTTTGCACAAAAGATAACATAGTTAATTTGAGAAAATTTTTTATCTAAAATTTGTATGTCTAATGCAAAAATATGATGTTTATATTCAAAATGATCACCAAATTATAAGAATTCCAGCAATGTAAATTATATTCTGGCCGGGTAATTTGTATGAATTTTATGAGCTAAAACAGGCAGTCAGGCAGGGTGGGGCAAATCTAAAAATAGCATCTCGAGCCGGACACTCACCGCGTATATGTGGAAAAAAAAATCCGTGTTAAGTGAAAGTTCAGCTCTGGCGGGGCACCGCGTATATGATAAAACGCGTTAAGTGAAACCGCGTTAGGCGGGGTAATATATATATATATATATATATATATATATATATATATATATATATATATATATATATATATATATATATATATATATATATATATATATATATATATATATATATATATATACAGGTTGACAATCCTTTGTCTGAAATCCTTGGGGCCAGAGGCATTTCGGGTTTCGGAATTTTTCGGTTTTCAGAATGGTTATTTTTTTTATTTATTTTTTTTTTATGTGTATTAGCCCACCCAGGCATAGATCACTGACCCACATTGGGGCCTGGGGGTTTAAAATATAATAAAAATTATAATAATAATAATAATAATTCTTAGGTCTAGGTCGTGTTTCTCACTTTTGATCTTTT